AGCATCACTGACCCATGTGGGATCCAAACCGGCAGCCCTGCTGCTCAGAGCCCACGCTCCCAAGCCAACTCTTAACCAATGAGCCAATCGGCTGGCCCAAAAGTTTTTAATTTTGATGAAGTGCATTTATCTGTTTTTCTTTTGTGCTTGGTCCTTTGGTGTCATATATAAAAATCCATCATCAAATCAAAGGTCAAGTAGATTTACCCCCTCTGTTTTCTTCTAAGAGTTTTATGGTGTAGCTCTTCTATTTAGGTCATTAATTTATTTTGATTAATGAAGGTAAGAAGGAGCCCAACTTAGTTTTTTTTTAAGCATGTGGAAGTCCAGTTGTTCCAACACCATTTGTTAAAGAGACTATGTTTTCCCCACTGAATAGACTTGATACTTTTGTCAAAAATCAATTGACCCATGGCCGGCCAAGTGGCTCAGTTGGTAAAGAGCTCGCTCAAGAGTGCGGACTCTGAGCAACAGCGGTTCGAATCCCAGCCTGAGCTGAGCTGCTGCCGCTGAGCTGCCAACAGGTGGTGGGATGGCTCAGCTAAAAAAAACAAACAAACAAACAAAAAAAACCCCAAAAACAAACAAAAAAAATCAATTGACCATAGATGTATGGGTTTATTTCTGGACTCTGAATTCTATTCCATTGGTCTGTATGTCAATCTTTATGCCAGTACCACTCTGTTTTGATTACTATTGCTTTTTAATAAGTTTTGAAATTAGAAATGTGACTCCTTTGATTTTGTTCTTGTTTTTCAAGATTATTTTGGCTATTCTGGGCCCCTTCCAATTCCATATGAATTTAAGGATCAGCTTTTCTATTACTGCAATAAAGACTATGCAATTTTGATAGGGATTATGTTGAATATGTAGATCACTTTGGTTAGTATTGAGCTCTTAACAACATTAAGTCTTCCTGTCTATGATCAAGAAATATCTTTTCATTTATTTGATTTCTTTCAGCAATGTTTTATAGTTTTCAGTGTACAAATCCTTCACCTTCTTGTTAAATTTATTCCTAAATATTTTATTCCTTTGGATGCTATTGTAAATGGAATTGTTATTGTAATTCCTTTCTTTCTTAAGATTTTATTGGGGACTTGGGGAAGGGGAACAGTGTTGGGGACTTGAGGAAGGGGAACAGCCAAGTTGTTGTCCTTCAATTTTAGTTGTGGAGGGCCAGCTAACTCAGCTCCACATCCAGTCGCCATCCGACTCTTGGGCAGCTCGCAGTCACTCAGCTCAAGGTGCCATGTTCAATCTTAGTTGCAGGTGGGAATAGCCCACCAACCCATGTAGGAGTTGAACCGGAAATCTTGTTGCTAAGAGCACACGCTCTAACCCGCTGAGCCACTCGCCGGCCCCTCTAATTTCTTTTTTGGATTGTTCATTGCTAGTGTTTAGAAACAACTGATCTTTGTACATTGATCGTGTACCTGAAACTTTGCTAAATTTACTTATTAGCTTTAATAGTGGTTTGTGTTTGTTGTGTGTGTGTGTGTGTGCGCGCGTGTGTGTGTGCGCGCGCGTGTGTGTATTTGGGAATATATATATATACATATATATTACTAAAACATAATAATTATATTTTATATATAATTAGTTTTATATATTTATATATTTACATATATAAGTATATCATTATACATTATAATATATAATGTAGTATATAATTATATTACTATAATTATATATTATATATGTAATCCTAGAGAATCTATATATAATCATATCATCTATAAAGAGAGATAGTTTTACTTCTTTTTTTACAATTTGGATGGTTTTTATTTCTTTTTCTTGCCTAATTGATCAGGTTACAACTTCCAATACAATGTTGAGTAGCCATAGTGAAAATGGCATCCTTGTCTTGTTCTTGATCTTCAGGGGGAAAGCTTTCAGGACTTCACCATTGAGTATGATGTTACCTGTGAGTTTTTCATAAATGTACTTTATCATGTTGAAAAGTTTCACTTCTATTTTCTGTTCTGGTTTTCTGATTGTTTTTATCATGAAAAGGTGTTGGATTTTGTCAAATGCGTTTTCACTGTCACTTATGATCATGTGGGTTTTTCCCCCATGTCCTATTAACGTGGTGTGTTGCATAGCTTTTCTACTGTTGAACTATTCTTCCATTCCTGATACAAGTCCACTTGGCTGGGGTGTGTAATCCTTTTAATATGCTATTGGATTTGGTTTGCTTGTATTGGGTTGTCGGAAAAGTCATGACGCATTTTTGCAGCGAAAAACAAAAAAATATGTCATGACTTTTCCGACAGCCCAATATTTTGTCGAGGATTTTTGCATTTACCAACTACCCAAACTACCCCACTTAAGGCTACTGAAGCCCTTGTGGTCTTTAGATCTAATGGTTCTCTTTAGTCCTTGTGTAAATGATACTGCTAGCCATGACTTCCTTTGATGTTTCTTATTGTTGATGCCTTTCTCCCTGAAATATTTGTTCTTCTTAGTTTCAGAGGCAGTATGCCCTTCTGGTATTTCTCTCATTTGTAGGTACTCCTCCATCTCCACTGGATATTCTTCTTCTGATCAGCCTTTAAGTGTTAGTATTTTTCAGGGGTCCTTTGGAAGATCTGAGTGACCTAATCAATTCACATCCAAACTTCATGATCCTTTATAAGCCAGCAAGTCAGCCTCTCTAGATAAGGCCACTCCTCTGATCTACATTTGGAGCCTCCCCCTGAACAATGCCTCTGGAATGCCCTAAAGGTAGCACAATACCCAACAGGACTCACAGGTCTTTCATGTTCTGGCCTCTGTTTACCTTTGCAGAGACTAACAAAGTTGTTCAAGGACTTTTCAATCTTAAGAAAAGAGGCACAACTTTGCATTCAGTTCATCTCATCTGAATCCCAGTTATGCTGGGATTTCTAGCTCTCTGTGCTTGAGCAAATTCTTTAGCTACTTTCTTGTGTCTCTGTTGCCTCTTTTGTAAATTGGGGATGATAATACTTGGTATGAAGATTAATGATAATGGAAAATAGTATTGTATATAAAGATCTTGACCCATATTAAGTTCTAAATAAAATGCAGCTATTTAGTAATAGTATTGGTCAGACATGAAGGGATAACATATAAGGGAATGGGCAGTAATACTAAGTTGTCCATTGTTGCTGCTGACACTGACTTCTGCTTCCATCCTTTTTATGCTGGGTGGGGACTTGAGTAACAGATACCAGATGAAGACTGGAGCCTTGCTTTAATAATCCTACGGGGTCCACTCTGGGGATTTATCATGATAACAAGATCTTTTAATATTTTTAATAATTAAGCCCATTTTGGTTAGTGATCCAAAATTGGACGTTATTTTGCCATATAGAAAACTGTATTTATTCGTGTGTTTTTAAACTCAGTGCTGACCTTAAGGTGACCATCCACCAATTTTCATTTAAATACTTGTGGTTTTTCCATTCCCTCTGTCTTTATGCCTTGAATCCTGGCTTTACCATTTATGAAACAATGTAAAATATATCCATTAAAAATCAGGTTAGAATTTGCTAAAAGAGAAAGCTTGGAAGTCTCTGAATGTAAGTGCTTTTACCAGTGTTTGAAGTTGTTAAAAAACAAAAGTCAACCAAGTAAATTTGAAGATCTAATTGGCTTTAATTAGGCGTTCATGAATCAGGCAGCATCCCATCTAGCAACTATTGGGTTGTTGGAAAAGTCATGACGTATTTTTTTATGTTTTTCATTGCAAAAATGCGTCATGACTTTTCCAACAACCCTGTAGAATGGCGCTCCCATGAACTGTACAAAATGGAAGGTTTTTATAGACAGAAAGTGTGTGCAACTAAGAAGTTAAAAGTCACCTTCCCTTAGGGGAAGGCAGGGAGTCTTATCAGGAAGGTTTTCATAGGAGTCTGGGTGGGACAAGGGAGCTCTTAGTAAAAGGAAAGAAAGGGTTATTTTTGGGCCAGGACATCTTTTCTTTGTAGGGGAAGAGAACAGGGAAGGGTTTTGATCTTGCAGATTGCCTCTTTTTTCTACTGGGGGGAGTTATGTGTAATGGTGAGGGCACGTGTGACAGAGTACTTTACTGGTGCTTGACCAAAAACCTCCATACTGGTTGATTACGATTATGTTTCTGGGAGAGGTTGAAATTGCAATTAGATCAGGTTATAAATCTAGGTTTGGTATGGTGGGCTTTTAGCACAAGTGATGCTATTTTGGGCTTGTGGTTGTCTTTTAACAAAAAGATGAATTGCTTTGTTTAAAATATTGATAAGACACTCTTAATGAAATATTTATACATCTTTTTTTTTTAACTTTATTGGGGAACAGTGTGTTTTTCCAGGACTCGTCAGCTCCAAGTTAAGTAGTCGTTTTCAATCTAGTTGTGGAGGGTGCAGCTCATTGGCCCATGTGGGAATTGAACAGGCAACCTTGGTGTTATGAGCCTGCACTCTAACCACTTGAGCTAATCAGCCGCCCCTATACATCATTTTATATTTCAAAAAAGTAGATTCAATAACCAATTATTAAGGCTAAGATTAATACCTGAAATCTTTTCATTAAGATCAAAGAAATCTTAAAGTTTGAATAAGGCATTGTAATGGAAAACTTTTTTTGTGTTCTTTTTTTTTTTTTCCCATTTTTCTCTTTTTGGAAAACTTTTTTTTAAGGTTCACTTTAAAAACTAGGTGCCTATTTTTTGTGAATTTTTTGCTAAATTCACTTTAAAATGACTTAAAAATCACTGAGACTTTATTTTTCTTTCAAATGATCTTTCTCTCCTGGGTCCTTACCAGAAGGAAAGGGAGCGCGCGATCTCGGGGGAAACTCCGGCAGCCCAGAGTTTTTCAGGCCCCGGAAGGACCGGGAGCCGCCCGACTCCGCCCGAGAGGGCGGCGCCCGACCGGCTTCTCCCGCGACCCGCCCCTGCGAGAGCCGGCGCCGCGCCTCTGCGCCGGGCACCCCCACGGCCACGGCGGTAGTTTCTCCTGATGATGCAAACACTCGCTTCCCGCATACACTTCCCACAGAGACCGGGGAGCCGGCAGGAGCCGCGCGCACCGCCGAGACGCGCGCCATGGGCAACATCCAGAAGAAGCTGACGGGCAAAGGCGAGGGCGGCAAGAGGCCGGAGAAGGGCGCGCAGCGGTGGAGCCGGGCACTGGGGGTCGGTGCGGACAAGCTGGGCCGCCCACGGAGGACGGCGGGCGGTGCCAACGGGCACCCGGGGGGCGGGCGGAGCGCCGGGGACCCCGTCGTGGCCAACGCGTCCCCCGGTCCTGGCGCGCCGCCGCCCGCCGTCCCGGTCAGCCCCGCGGGCCTGAAGAGCCAAGGCAACGAGCTGTTCAAAAACGGGCAGTTCGCCGAGGCGGCGCTCAAGTACTCGGCTGCGATAGCGCAGCTGGAGCCAGCAGGTAAGCGAGCTGCGCCCCTCGCGTTCCCTGGACCCCACGGGGTGCGGCTCACGGGACTTAAAGGGGCAACCGCGGGAGAGGCGCGGGCCACCTCCTGATGACAGACGCTTGCGTCTGTACATTCCTTCCTGGTGACCCAGGGCGGTGTGTGACTGGACCTACGCGAGCAGTCTGTACCTTGGAATGCGTAGCATGTGCCCTGGCGAGGCAAGTTGGTCCCCTTGCGGGCTTTCCCCCTGTGGCCATTGCTGGCACACACAGCTCCTCGGAGCTCCGCATTGTCAGCGCTGTAGGACTGCAGTGCCACTGGAGACCTCAGGCGTCTTGTAATTCTGTTTAATTTGATTTTGCTAATGGATTTTAATTGTATTTAATTAAATGTGATTTTAGGAAGTGGAAGTGCAGATGATCTAAGTATCTTATATTCAAATAGAGCAGCATGTTACCTAAAGGAAGGAAACTGCAGTGGCTGCATTCAAGATTGTAACAGGTAAACTGCCCATTTTCAGGTTTGTCAAGAGATTGTTACATTTCTGTGTGGTGAATGCAATATTTTATGATCCTTCTAAGTTTTCTGCATGAGTCTCATTTCTGAAGACCGTTTTAAGTTATGTTAATTGATTAATTCATAAATTCTTTTTCACATATAGGAACAGTTATAGAAGACTGTGCAAACTTTTTTCATTTCCACTGCTACCACCTTAATTCATGCCCTTTTTATATCAATCCTAGACTACTGGAGAAGACTTCTAACTGCTCTGCCTCCTCCAATTCACTGTGGCATCAGAATAACTTTTCTTGAAGCACTGTTTCGTTTAGACTGTTTCAAACAGGTGTTCAGTAGCTCAGTATGGTCTTCCAGATAATTATAAACACCTGTCACCAGACTGCCCCCAAAACAAGCTTTCTGCTCCCATTTGGTCCACTGTCTGTAATGCGCTCTACAAACCCTTGTTTCTGAAATCCCTGCTCAGCTGCCCCCTCCTCTTACCTCCTCACCTTCAGGCACCCTGGTCATCTTCACATCTATAACACTCTCACTCTCATGTCATGCACTGCATTTGGTTTTCAGCTCTTGAGGTCAGGAACCATGTTTTATACAGCTTTGCATCCCTCAAGGACAGTAGTTGCCCATGGTGCTCGACTAGTTACTTGCTGAGATAGAGGAACATATTTACATAAAGAAAAAGCATTGTTTTCTTTTACCATTAAGTAATAAGCCTGCTTCAAGAGTCCTTTTGAAAGAAGCCACTATTAGTGCGTGTAAAAAATAAGTAGTGGTATGTCCAGGTTTGCCTTTCACGGTCTCGATTTACTCCTTTTTTCTCGTATAATTATTAATATCACCCTCTTTCACTTTTTAGAAGCCCTAGTTTGGACAGTATCTTATGTAGACACCCTGATTATAAGGTGAACAATTTATTTTTTCCATTGGTAGGATCAGCTAATTAATATGGGTAAAAACTTGCTAGCATCTGTGCCTACAGTTAAAAAGGTCTGAAGCACTCGGATTTGTATGCCAATTTTACATATTCAAATTTTAAATAAATAATATTTATATTTACTCTGACCTTCAAACCCCAGCCACTATTGTGCTAGCTCACATTAGCTAAGTGTTGTTACATTTTCAGGATTTTGTGAGCTGATCGAAGTTAAGTTGTAGCTTGAATTATGCCACGGTTAGAGTACTAATACCATGAAAATGAGCAAATGCCACAAATCTGAACTTTTTCCCCCAGGAGAGCCAGGTGTCAAACATTTACTCCTGCCCATAAATAACCAACAAGACTATGTGAATTTGCAGAATATCAGACACTTTGCAATTTGCAGTCAAGAACCTGTGGGGGCTTAAAAAAAATAGTTTTCTTCCCACCTTCTAAGTTCTTCTAGCTGGGCTAATAATCAAATTAACAGACAGATTAACAGGAAAAAAATCAAATTTGAATACATGTGCATGGAGAATTCACAGAAACATGAGAATTCCAAAGACAGTGAGGTAAAATTGGTTATATATGTTATTTTAGACAAAGAAGAAAGGGGAGAAAGGAGATCTTAGATTTCCAAAGTAAGCTGAACACACGTGGCAGGTAAATATTTGCTAGGCAACCCAGAAACAGTGTGACAGACGGGGAGCAGATCTAATAAACAGGCCCTGCGAGGCCTTCCTGTCTACCATACTTAATTCAAATTAGTCTAAGGTGAATATGTTAAAATTTCTTTCCTGGAGCAGGTTTTTCTATCTGAATCTCTTGGGCAGGAAAGGGGAGAGAGTCAGAGGTTCTTTCTAAGTCTTTCGTTTCTTAATAACCAGGTTAAAAATCAGTATCCCAAAAGGCACAGTTTTTTGAGTGGCAAAACTTTGGTTCTCTTCAGATCTTTCAGTTCAAGTACCTGTTGCTAATACATTACCCTTCAGACTTGTCTTAGGTCTTCCTACAGTGAGGAATTCAAGTCTCTAGTTAAAACGTGGGAGCCCTACAGATAGGGCTCACTTTGTCCTTAAGTGAGATCATTTAAGGTGGCAGACATTTTCCTTCTAAAATTCGGGTTTCATTGTAGATCCAGAAGGAAGTCAAAGAATGGGCTCCAGCCATGGTGTCCAAAGAGGCTAGAATGGAGGTTTGTCTTGAGGGAGACGCCTGCTGGGGAGGGAGGTGTGTGATGGTTAAAGTAAGTTGCCTGTAGATAAGTGTTGTGTTCTGGGCCAGGTATGACCTCCATAGAGACAAACCTACTTAGGTGTTTTCTTTACCTGGCAGATGAGCACCAGCATAAGGGGCATGGGGTGATTTTATTCCAAACCAATGATTCTCAAACTCGTTTTAATGAGAGAAACCATGATTTACTGTTGTGAACATGTTGGAATATGGATATATTTAAATCTGTATGAACTAGGATCATTTATTAGAAATATGATGGTATTTTCACTTCAAAAAAGATTGCATACATTTTAAAGGAAGCCTATTTTTCAGTCACTTATCTTTGCTCCTTGGAGAGTTGTTTTGTGTTCCATAAGCCCTTATCATAAGACAAGTGGTAGCAGGAGTCAAACATTGAAAATGAAAAACTCATGGCAAAATTTAAATAAACGGGAGGAGGAAACCTATGAAATAGCTTTCATAGATTTACCTATAAAAATAACTTTTTATGCATTTTGGGGAAAAATATTTGACTTTAGCTGTCTATAAACTCCTGGGGCCTCTCTGAAGCAGCTCCTCTGAGATGTTTCCTAGGGAGTGTAAAAGTGTTTGAGGAGCTTAAGGGAGTCCAGGCGCGCCCCTCTCCTCACCACAATATTTCCATGTTTCTGGTTTAGGCTTCCCAGTGAAACTTGAAATGGAGTTCTGATGCCTAAGCAAACGTTTTCAAACTTTTATTCTGGAAGTTACTTTTTATTGTCATATTTGTTTATTGACTAAAAAAGAAAACAAAAAAACACTTCACTTTTCCCATCTGTCAGAGAACCTTCTTGGGTTATCTGAATCACATCAGAAATCTTTCTGTGGCTTTCCATTGAGAATATTTTGACAGACTCAGTACAAATGAATGATGTGTAATAATTCTCTGCTTCTGCTCATCCTTGCTGCTCTCTGACACTTGAAATTAGAAGACTCTTTAGGGTCTTCACTGTGTAACTTGAATAATTAAGCTTTTGTAAGCTCTGGTTTAAAATTTCTCTGTGTTTGTTTTTATGAATGGATGCTTTTTCTTTTGTGGGATTTCCATTTATAAGCTCATTTTCAGGATTGTAGTTAAAGAGAAAAAACCTTGCATTTACTGTCCTGTGGAGTGCTAAGAATTCAGTGCATCATCTCACTCAATTTTAGATGCCACACCAACTTCAGGTCCACCTTGAGTGGATAAACAGTGGCTGAGTTTGGGAAGTTAAATGGGGTAGTCATGTTCCTGGTGTTAATATCCTTTAAGCATTAAACTAAGCTACACTTAAGGCAGTGGTACAGGTGATAAATCCTGGTGCCTAGAGACCTGTTTTCTAGTGTTTAAGTGTTCTTACGTGATTTTAATTTTATTTATTGAATAACTTACTGGTAACAAAAGTAGCATGTACCTATTACAGGAAAAAATGTAAAACCCAATATAACACAAAGGAGAGCATTAAAATCACCCACAATCCTAACACCTAGGCAGAGCAAAATTGGTTATTTTGCAGAGACTGAAGCTAATTAGGTTTAATGACATTTCTAGAACAACTTCTGTGATACAGACTCCAGGAGCACACCCGCAGGTGCTGCTGCGTGTACACTGGAGAACTGTGAAGAAGCCCGAGGGGCAGATGACTTCGAGTTCCTTTATTTGCAGTGTTTTTGTATATGTTTGTGGCAGAAAGAGTGTAGGCTCTGAAGAGTGCCTGTCGTGGCCCTGGTATTGATTTAGGGCTGGGAATACAGTGGTGCTCAGGACAGGCAATGCCCTTACTTTCTGAAGCTTAAATTCAAAAGAACCAATGTGTGGGCAGATTGCTCCAGGTGCTTCTCCATTTCCTCACCTGCAAATGAACATTTTATCTTGCAGGCTTATGAGATTAGATTAGATGAGAAAGTCTATAATGACTATTGTGTGGCAGGTGTTCCACCAGAGCTTCCTCGCCAGGTCGCCAGGTCACCAGTAGACAGAAACAGACAGCAGATCCTAAGCCTATTGGGGGAAAAAGCGAAGCAGCCCACGCTCATGCTTTCCCTGTATTTCCCCAAGTATAAGACGCTCCCTTTTCCGAAAAATTTGGGGTCTAAAAACTGGGTGCGTCTTATACAGTGGTTGTAGATTTACTTGCATTTCCTGCTTTTTTCGCGCTTGTTTTTGTGCTCATACAACCACTGTATAAGACGCACCCAGTTTTTAGACCCCAAATTTTTTGTGAAAGGGCGCGTCTTATACATGGGGGAATACGGTAAATATCTGATACAAACCGCTTGTGGCATAAGAGTTAACCAGAAGAGCAAACCTGCAATCCCCAATGTGGACAGCCTGGTGCATACTCATTAGTGGGTTATATACAAATAGCTCCTCATAGAATCTCTGCAGGGAGTACTTCTTTACAGCTTTAGTTAATCTTATTAAAACTAAGAATACAGTACTTTCATTTATCAATACAATCTTGATTGTATGTTTTATTTCAGAATATAATGAAGTACATTAAGTAGTGAAGTAGCTTTACACCATTACTTCAAACAAAACCAAGGAATATAACCTTGAAGTATATCTCTAGTGATCATTGGAAATACTTCATAGACTAAAAAGTGCAAGACGAAAATTCATGACTTAACGAAATCATTGTATGCTTAACTTCCTTGATTTCCTTTGGTCTATTCTTGAAGCCTTTTGGCAGCAAGTAAATCTTTAATGTATTAAGTTTTAGCTAATTTTCAAACAGTAATGTAAGTTTTTGTGGTTCTATGCTAAGGTGCCTTATTAAATATATAGGTGCAAATAAAAATTTACCTTTTAATTTGTCAATAACAAGAATCTGCTGAAAGCCCACTCTGCCTGGTGTCATAGTGGACTCTGTTAGGGTGTAGGGGAAGGTGAGGGTGTGTGTGGGGCTGAGGGTACAGGGGTTGGGGTGCAAGATTTGGGGATGGTAAGGCACACTGCCTGCTGCTAGCGAGCTCAGGCTCTGGGGGGAAGAGTAAATACCAAAGTGCTTTGGTACTCCTTTAAAAGAAAGGAGGTAACTACAGGCTTGATTGCTCTGTTACTCCGGGTTTGACTTTTTGGTATGTTGCCAGGTTCCCAAGATGAAATACCAGGTAGGTATGTATTTGAGAGTCCAGTACTACAGTGTACATTCAGTTAGTATAACTTAAAGAGTAAGTTCAAAACAAATGACATGTAATATATCTGTCTTCTTTAGGGCTCTGGAACTTCACCCTTTCTCAATCAAACCTCTTCTTCGACGAGCCATGGCCTATGAAACTTTAGAGCAGTATCAGAAAGCTTATGTGGATTATAAAACAGCGTTGCAAATAGACTGCGGAATCCAGATAGCAAATGACAGTATTAACAGGTAACCTGACCTGAGGCAGCTACCTCTGAGGTCTAGATGTTTTATAATAGAATTAGATTTTTTTCTTTCCCTCCTTCAAGAACGATGTCTATAGTGTTCTCAGTTATTTTACATGAATGAATGCCTTCTTTCATTCCATCAAAACCAAATGGTTCTCTGTAACTTAATTTCTAACTATCCCATAATACATTCTGAGTTGTCCTCCAGTATCTTTATATTTGTTATCTGGTCCATTTATTACTGTTCAGTGAATATTCTTTTTTTTTTTTTTAATAGCACAGGGTCTTTTGTGCTGCTCAAAATGCACAGAATTTAATTTTATTATTTGTAAATGTCTGTGGGGTTAGGAAGGTGTTTTCAGTGATGTCATCAGTGAGTGCTAATTATAGGACGAGATAAAAAAATGTAGTGAGAGCTGCCATGTTAAATCTTTTCCTGTGTTCACTGGCACCGCAGCTGTCCGTGGGAACATCTTTTGTTTCTCCTCAGGAGAGTGGATGTCTTCATGAGCCTGCTAGATATTTGTGTTATATCTCCTTGCACTAGACACTCATCCAGGATGAGTGTCAATTTATAATGGTGAAATTGCAAAGAATTTGGATCTAATTTATATTATGACCTATTTACCCCCGAGTGAGAATGGGAAGGTGAGAATTTCCAGACTTCATAAATTGCTGGCCGATAAAACTTGAAAATTACTAGTTAGATAACATTTCCAGTTATGTCTAATATTTTCTGATCCCATGTGTCCACAGTATAACTTCTTCAGTATTTGTTACATTGTGCCCTGTATCAGCCTAGTGTGTCATGCCCCACTCCCTGCAAAAAAGAAAAAGGGAAAAAAATGACAGTCTCTGTTTTTAGTTAAACTAGAATATGGCTGCGGGGGAAAAGTTAAGATAGATTATCCCCAAGTGTGAAAATTTATTAGTAACGTGTGGAGATCACAGAGAGGTTAGGCCATGTTTGTCTGTATGGACTATTGTTGTAGGAGAGAAAGCACTTGAGGTTGTCTTTCAATGGCACTGGTAGACTATAAGGAGACCTTGAGCAAAATTGTAGAAATGAGAATGGCATGTTTCAGATTAATTCATTTTTAAAATTGTGCCTTACCTCCCCACATGGTCCCATTGCAATTTGGAGAAAACTGTTAGATCTGTATGTAGCCGACAGCTGTTCCCTGGAGGTTCCACTCTGTTGTCACATGGAACCCGTCTGATCCCAGCCTGACTGGAAGAAAGGGGGATATATATATATATATATATATATATATATATATATATATATATATATATATATATATATATATATATATATAGGTTAGTGGATCTAGATGGAATTAGAGCAAACCTTGGGCATTCACAGCCTCCTTGATCTCAAGCTTGTAAAATCAGGCAGTGTCTCCTGGGAGCTCTCCAAGCCCTTTGCCCGCTGCACAGCTGCTTCACTGCTGGTCGTTTGCGGCCTCATATGTGCCCAAAGTCCCTTTCCTCTTCCTTGTGTAGTTAATTCCTTCTCAGCCTTTAGGAGAGGACTTCCTTCCTCTAGGAAATGACTTTCCCTGGCCCACCCACCCATCTCTCCCTCCCCACACTGTACATGCATTTTGGGCTTCCTTCCTCATTGCCCCCAGTGCTTTTTCTTATTACCCAGCTTCATATTGTTCGTAAATTCTCTATCCCTCTATTTCTGTCAAAATGTTTTCTCTCATTCTACTAGGAGTTCCTTGAGGTTGGAAATTGTGTTTTATCCATCTTTGTAGTTGCAGTTCCTTGTACAGTAGACATCCTCAGTAAAGATGTGTTGAATGAATTCATTCTCCAGGGAGAGTATAGTTCACTCCTGTTCTTTGGGACTACTTTTAATTTGCCCATCCTGTCTGGTAGTCTCCAAGATAGTCAGGGAAAGTAGGATCTTCTCACAGAGTTAGGAATTCTTGTGAAACAAAGTGGGAAGACCCTGAACCTGCAGTACCTGACAGAGAAGAGAGGCCTGTTGAAAAGGTATTTTAGTTCAGAGTGATAGGTTGAATGGTTTGAAGGGAGAAATACATGTCTGAGAGACTGATTACTCATATTTCTGAACCTTCTGCATTATACTTTTTAAAATAATTGAAGTATAATTCATATAACATAAAATTAACCATTTTAAAGTGTACAATTTAGTGGCCTCTGGTACGTTCAAAATGTTGTGCAACCACCATCTGTATCCAGTTTCAAAACATTTCATTACTCCAAAAGGAAACTGTCCCCATTTGTTATTACTCATTCTTCCTTCTCCCATCGCCCTGATAACCACTAATTTGCTTTCTGGCTCTATGAGTTTACCTATTCTGGATAGTTCATATAAATGGAATCATAAGGATGTGTACCTTTTGTGTTTGGCTTCTTTCACTGAGCAAATGTTTTCAAGCTTCATCCATGGTATCCCATGTATCTGCACTTCCTTTTTATGACTGAATAACACTCCATTGTATGGATGGACCACATTGTGTTTGTCCATTCATCAGTTGATAGGCATTGGGGTGTTTCTACCTATTGGCTATTGTTAATAATGCTGCTGTGAACATTCAGGTTCAAGTTTTTGTTTGCATACCTGTTTTCAGTTCCTTTTGATGTATACCTAGGAGTGGAATTGCTGGGTGATAGGGTATTCTGTTTAATTTTTGAGGATTGTATTATAATTTTTATATGTGCTTAAGAGGGTTCCTTTATACAAATTGACTTTTAAGACTCACTCATTTTTTTAAATTCAATGGTTCATGCTGGTATATCACTTTATAAGATGATGGGGAGGCTTTGTCTGGTTTTGCCATATGTATTTTTCTGTAAAACACTCATTTTTAAAATTGCAGTATTCCTTTTCATGAATCCCATATTTATGCTTGCTTTTCCATCTAAGCAACAGCAACTTTTCTTTTTTTTAATTTAAACATTTGTGCTTATTTTGTTTCTGTCTTCCATTAACCATATTCCTCTCTTCCTCTCCAGGACTCTTATATGTTAAATTTCCCTGCATATACTTATTTACTCCCTGGCAACACATCATCTCTTTTCAGCTGCTTCTTCCTTCCTCTCTGCTGGTAATAAAAATTTTGCTTGAAAATTCTTTTTTCTAAAGCTTCTTTTTCTTCTGCAAAGTTGTGGGTGGTTATATGTTATTTTTCAGATTTAGTTTTTACACTAAAACATATGATATTTGGTTATCATAACCAAAGATGACTGTTGAAATTTCAGGGAAGCTGTGTGTATTATATTGGTCTCTATATAAATACAAAAATTTTCACACAAAAAGTACTACTGAGTTAACTATTAATTACCAGTAAACTTTCAGTCTTGAGGAACACCTTTTTAAAACTAGATTCATCCCAAAGACATAATTATTTTTGTTTTTAAATAAAAGTATGATATTTTGTATTTTTAAAATGATGAGAAAGTGATAAGTGATAATCGGGGATGTTAATCTGAATTCTATGATGGCTATTAGTAAATGTCATTAATCCAGGGCCTTCATTGTAGACTCCAGTGTCTTATTCTTTCACCTTTGTGCATATGTAAACAAAACGGATAATTTTAGAGATGAAAAAAAAATACAAGGTTAAGAGTATCTTAACCACATGTAAATGTTTTAAGAAAAAGCAATATACCTGTGACAGTTTTAGCAGCTGGTCTCATACATCTGCTTTAGTATACAGTTTGGGCATAGAAATTCTGAAGTATTTCTGAGTATTCTCAAGAGTAATACATTATTAATTTAGTAATTATATTAAATGTTATGTGGGACATTTCTTGTAGGCTTCCTAAATTATAGTTTTCTATTTGACTTTCTCAAAAATTAACATTTTATTGCATATACATTAACATTTTTTTAAAACCAATTAGAAATGTCTTAATCTTTTTTCTTAGATACAGAAAGGATCTAAAGTTACATAGTTTTGGCAACTTTTAAAAGTCCTTTTAAAGACCATTTATGTGGACAACAAATAGCTCAAGATTGTGTGTTTTCTACAGGGAAGTACAAAAATGCACACATTTGTAAATCTTCTTGATATGACCTTCAGTAATATAAAACACAAATTGCATGATCAATAGAGAAAACTCATTTTCTCTTTAGAATAACAAGAATTTTAATGGATCTCAATGGACCAAGCTGGCGGGAAAAGCTGCCAACCATTCCTTCTGTGCCCACTTCCGAACAATTGCGAGCTTGGCGACCTGCAGCCGAGATGCTCCAACACCAAGTGGGAGATTCTTGCAGCCAGGACCAACCAGGCACCACAGGTGGGGTAGCCTACACTCATTTCTTCTGAGGGTTATTTTGAGATATGTGTACATTTTCACAGTAAAGCAGAAGAATAAGAGTATGAACTCAGGCGTCAGACCTGGGATTAAGACCCGGTTTTCTCTCTTTCTAACAATAGTCTTAAGAAGTTGCTTCCCACCTCCAGGGTCCTAGGGTATGATGGTAACTATCGCATGGAGTTGTTCTCAGGAATAAATGGAGCTATGCATATAAAATACTTAGCGCATACTGACTGTGTAAGATTATAGTAACCTCAATAGAGGTTAAGTTAGCATTATTATTAAGAAGAAAAATAAGTAGCATATAGTTCTCTACTACACCATGTATGTGATAAGGCTAAAGTAATAGGATTGGTGTGTTCAAAATAAATAAAACCCTACAACATAAATACCTAGCAGGCACTTCCTTCTGCCTTAGATCACAGTTGTTAACATATCTGCGTTGCTGTAGTACCTACCTCATTGTTTTGTGCAGAGTGTTTAATTAATGTGACTTCATGCTTTCTGGTTTAGAGCCAGTTGAGGCCCGATTTCTCCTGCCTCCTTAGGAACTCCCTGTGCATTCCCCAGGTTGAGCTTCATCTTGCAGACATCCTGAGGTTCCTGAGCTGTGATGTCCCAATGGCGAGTGTTAGACCCTCATCCTGTCCATTGCCTAAAAAGAAGATGCAGGGAACATCTGCCAAGACTTTTGGATGACCTCGCCGTCCTAGGAAAATCGCGGAGATCTCTATAGTTTTCTCGAGTCCATTATTTATGGGGCCTGGCACAAAGCATTTGCTCAGTGAAGGGTAGCTATGTATTATTAAGAAAATGCATGTACTAACCATACTATAGATATGTGATAGCAAATCATAAACACAGGTATAAGCCGCCTTTTCTGTTCATAGTGTACTGATTATTAGGGAGAGTGGATAACAAAGGCTTACAAACATTGGGGCGAAGAAAAGAAATTGTGAGGAAAGTTTTGCAGCAAATTGAGGGCGAAAAAATCCTCTATAATATTTTATTGTAGGGCTCATGTATACCAGGATTCATAGAAGGTATCATTTGGCCCTATTGTGTGAGATTTTCTGAAATATTAGGCAGAAATATTCTGTTATTCGAAATGAAAGTTGAGAAATTAATTAATGTTTCATGCTGTTTGTGCAGAGGGACAAATAAGATTATCATTTACATTCAAGTTTATACTATAAATTCTCTACATCTATCAAGATTTTTAGGTCACAGAATTTAAAGGTATATTTTAAATTTTTAGCTAAGGATTTTTATTTTATATCAAGTTAATGCATAGGGTAAAATTACTACATAGATTTAAAACTTTAAATTTTAATAACTTGATGTGTGAGAAAACTTTGGTTGCGAATAACAGAAAATCTATCGACTTAAATTGTAAGGAATGGTTTTGTCTCATGTAACTGAAAGGACCCAGTCAGGCTCTAAAATCATGCACGACTCATCAGGGCTCAGAAGAGCCCTGGTCAGAAACGAAACAACATAGAAATTTAGGCTTCATGTCTTCATATCAATCCAGTGGGAGAGAGATACCATTGCTTTTGGTGGCATTAATTTTAGGATGAGGAAATATATTGCCTCAAAGCTATAGCTTTTTTATCCTGTTCTATTGGCTCGAATTCTATGGGTGCTTATTCTAATGGGCCATGTGCCCACTTCTGAGCCATTCCCTCTGATGAAGAAATGACATGTCCAGATTGGCTTATTAGGCCTGTGTTCCTGATCAGTTAGGGTCAGCTGCCCCTGAATACATGGGCCGAATAGGAGAGGGGTGATAGCTGCGTGGTACCCCTACGGAGGGGAAAATAGATCCTGATCAGGGGGTCAGCCATGATCACTGCAAGACAGTAGGTACGGATAAAAGTTGGGACTCTGATTGAAGATAACAGAAAACCCAACTGTTAATGGCTTAAGCAAAAAGGTTGTTTATTGACTCTGATCATGGCCAAGTCCACAGGTGGAGGAGCTGCAGGAAAGGCTGGATTTAGGGCTCACATTCTTCCTTAGCCTTCTGTGTTGGCCTTTCTTTTGCTATGTTGGCCCCATTCACAGACAGACTCTCCCTTTGTCTCATAGAATGGCAACATAGCCCCTCCTTTCATCCCCCTGTTCCACGGGAAAGCAAGAGTTACCTTACTTTACTGCCACAAAAATCTTACTGTGGCTCATTGGCTCTCATAGGCCCACCCCTGACCTATTAGATTATTGTCGCCAAGGAATATAATGTGCTGATTAATAAAACAAAGATTACTCCAAAAGGTAGGGCTAGAGTGGCATTTGCTTTAAACTACAGGAGCAAAGAATTGGAGGAGGTATGATTTTCCAAGGAAGTTTGGGGTACTGGACAAATACCTGCTTCAGACTTTAATGGGTTTGTTCATTTTTCATGAAATAGTTATTTAACCAAACACTAGATGTTTATATTTCCAGCAGAGAAAAGAAGGCATACCAATATGGATAAAATGGTAGAATTACTTGTATTTTATTTTCTAATTTGAAAAAAAGTGTCATAATTGTATAATCATTTTTACTTATAGCCAATTTGTCTTTTTAATTTGTATACAAAGTTTTGTTCCATTTAGACTTTAGCGCTGCATGGTATGGGATCAAGTTAATGTGCAGTAGATGATTTACTTACATATGTACTTAAGATTTTGTAGAGGTGCTTATATGAAAACTTCCTCCTTTTTTATTTTTTGTGTTTCACAGATGAAAAAATGTTTAAAACCCTTAAAGAAGAAGGAAATCAATGTGTAAAGGACAAAAACTATAAAGATGCCCTTAATAAATACAGTGAATGCTTAAAGATTAACAATAAGGAATGTGCCATTTATACAAACAGGCAAGTTCTTTGTAACCTTATGTATTTATTATGCTAATATTTTTATTAAGAAATGGAGACAAATTAATTGCCAGCGTTCTTTCCCAAAGTTCTGAGAATTTATAAAGCAAATTGTCCTAAGTTAGTGTTTTTTAAAGAGGTGGGGGCATAGGAGTTCCAGAGAGAGTGAACACATGACGCGTGGTGGGCTGGGAGTTCTGACGTGGTCAGGGTAACGCGTTTCTGCAGGCCGTCCTTCCTAGCCATCTGGCCTTGCTGCAGCTGGCTCTGCCTGTGCACTGTCTGTCATCCATGGTAGCAGTAGGAAACACTTGCCTTTCAAATTAGCTTAGTTTTCTCTGGAAGTTTTAAGGTAGGGGACCAGCATCTTTGTGCAGTAAGAATAGGCAGAGAGATTGTTCTGGAATGCTGCTCGGGTGTCATCTTTACCACATTATGGTAAAAGATAGTTACCTAGAATATGGTGATTTGGGGAATTTTAGGTAGAGCCTGGGGTGATGGAATAAACATAGTTCCTAAAGAGCAGGGACTCACAGCATGAGTGTTTCTAGCTATTTCAGATGAATTCTTTTCAACTTAACCTCTCACTGCTTTGTTTTTGTACACGTTTTCCTCTAGTGGCAACTTTTTTGCCAAAAATTTGTCACTAGTTTCAGCATGTATTTTTCTACCCTTCTCCTGTTCAGCTCTGTGGTGTTGGGCGTTAAAGGCCACCCAGTTTGCCCTGGAGACTACACTTGCCTGGCTCTCCTCTTCTCCCTCTTCAGGCTTTTCTTTCCCTGGTGCTCTAAAGCTGTAGATCCCTTTTTCGCTGTCCATGCTCTCTGGCCATTTCACCCTCTCCCAAGCTCCATTTACCATCTTCCAGTGATGGCCCTCAAATCTCTGTCTCTGAGCTTCAGACCTGAGCACTCCCCCCTGCACTCACGATGGGTTATCATCCCTGACCCATGCATGCCTCCCTCTCCTGGTCTGTCAGAAGGTCGGGTATCTGACCTTCTGAATTTCTCCTCAGTTGCGAACCTTTCTCTCCACCCTCACCGCCATTCCCTGCTGTGGGCCACCACCATCTCCTCCTGTGTGTCTGTAGCACACTTCATGGTGGCCTGCAGTCTTGTTCCTTCTCATCTCATTCTCCAAGATGTCAGCCCCTATTTAAAAACCCGTTAGTGGACTTCCATGAAATTCAGGATGAACCTCAACCTCCTCGCTGTGATTTCTAAGGCCCTTCATGATCTGGCCAGCTTACTCTCCCAGCCTCATCTCTGCACTGTGTCATGTGGAACTTCTCTTACTCCATCAAGAACACCATGTTCTCTCACTGTAGAACTTTGCACATACTGGGCCCTTGGCCTCTGCTCTCCCTCCCTACATCTTAACTCTCAACCCAGTGCCTTTGCATTGGATAATGTTCACTTCATATTCTGGACTTTATCTTAAATGTCATTTCTTCCGGGAAGTCTTTCCTGACTGCTCCTCCCCTCTCTTCAGCCCCCCCAGATCTGATGAGATTCTCCGCTGGGTCCTCCCAGAGCATCCTATACAGATTTTATTGTGTTTGCTTGTTTTCATTGTCTGTCTCTTCCACTAGACTGCAGCCTCTTTGAGGGCTGGGGCTGTATCTGGTTTACAGTTGTATCCCCGGTGCCATAATTATATGTAGTGCAAGAAAATGCCATAATTGGAGTCGTGTTAGTTTTTCACTGAGAAACAGCTGTGGTATAGAAATAGACTCGTTGTGCTATTTTCTGATTTTTATTAGCTATCTAATTTTATGGACATGTTATCTTTACTTTTCATAATCTTGAGTTCCATTACATTATACCAGAGCGCTCTGTTACTTGAAGCTGTGCCAGTTTGAAGAGGCAAAGCAGGACTGTGATCGGGCGCTTCAGATAGATAACGGGAATGTGAAAGCTTGCTATAGACGAGCTCTTGCACATAAAGGACTCAAGGTGAGGAAATCTTTATTTTACTATGTAAATTTGAACTCTGAACAAATCATGTGGTTTTCATGAACATCTATCTCGGAATCATGGAATGGGAGCGAGATGGTTGTGGGATTTAATCCCAGTCCTGTACTAACCAGTCCTGACACCTTGGAACAGGCCTCAGATTTTCCCTAATTATAATGTAGATAATTTCTAAGATTCCTTCCAGCCCAAAAATTATGATTTATTTCCTTATTTCCTGAGGACTGTTGTTAGTTACACTAGGTCCACTTTAAGGGACAGGAAGGTTTTTTATTGAATTATTGAAGGCCGCCAGCGATGCCATTGGATTCTTCCAGCAAAGGACTGGGGTTGTCTGTGGGGTGGGAGGAAGGCATCAGAATGGAAGATGGTAGAGACATAGAGGAGATTGGGAAGCTCATGGTGATTTGGGCCTTAAGCTGGCTGGTGGTCAGTGTGAGACTATAGAATGGCATCCTTTTCTAAGAAAACCACATCCTTATTTTCAAAGGAGGTATTGTATAATTATGCTTTTGTTAATGCTGATTCTTCTGCATGGAAAACTTGAATGAATGTTCATGTTTGTAGAAAATAATATCACAGGGTAAAATCAGAACTGGCAAATGACATTTCCTGAAATGATATTTTTTAAAAGTCAGTTTGATTAAGGTCTAATACAAGGAAATTCACACATTATAAATGTGCAGATCTTGGATTTTTTTCTCTTCAAAGATTTTTTTTTTTTAAGATTTTTATTGGGGAATTGGGGGGATGGGAACAGTGCTGGGGAATTGGGGGAAGGGGAACAGACAAGTTGCTGTCGTTTTTGTTCTTTAGTCTAGTTGTGGAGGACGTTGCTTCACTGGCCCAAGTTGGCACCATCATTGTGCTCTTCCCTGGCGAGGCAGATCAGTCGCCGGCTTCTGGACGGCCGCTCACTGCGGCTGCTGGCCGCTCACGCTGGCTGCTGGCTACACACGGTAGCCCATGGCAACCCACTGCAACAGGGGCTGCAGCCTACGCCGTCGCCAGCGACTCACAGCAACCCAGCTCCAGGTTGAGCTGTTGTTCAGCATCTTAGCTGTGGAGGGCAGTGTCACTGGCCCTCATATGTGGGATCCGAACCGGGGTCCTCTGGCATCCCAAGCCAGTTCTTAACCATCGCGCCACTCGGCCGGCCCTCAAAGATTTTTTTAATTGATAGTTGACATAATATTCAGTTAGTTTCAGGTATACAACATAATGATTCCATGTATGTATATAACTTGTAAAGTGATCACCACACTATCTCTTGCTAACATCCATCACCACACATAATTACAAAATTTTTCTTTCTTGTGATAAGAACTTTTAAGACCTACTCTTAGCAACTATTCAATATATAATACAGTATTATTAACTATAGTCACCATGCTGTACATTATATTACCATGATTTATTTTATAACTGGAAGTTTGTACCTGCTGACCATTTTCACCCATATTGTCCACCCTCCACTGCTTGTCTTGCCTCTGGCAACGAACCAATCTGTTCTCTGTCTCTGTCAGTTCTGGGAAGTGGGGGCTGGTTTCTTGAGTTTTTTGTTTGGTTTTGGTTCCATATATGGTAGTTGTCTTTCTCTGTCTGACTTATTTCACTTAGCAAAATGCCCTCGAGGTCCATTCATGTTGTTGCAAATGACAGGATTGTCTCCTTTTCTATGGCTGAATAATATTCCAGTGTGTATATATATATATATACCACATCTTCTTTATCCATTTACCCATTGATGTTTCCTTGTCTCGGCTATTGTAAATAATGCTGCAATGAAAATGGAAGTGGGCTATCTTTTCAAGTTAGTTTTTGTTTCCTCTGGATATATACCCAGAAGTGGAATTGCTGGGTCATATGGTAGTTCTACTTTTAAATTTTTGAGGAACTTCCACACTGTTTTCCATAGTGGCTCCACCAGTTTATAGTTTCACCAACAGTGCACGAGGATTTCCTTTTCTCTGCATCCTAACCAACACGTATTTTTTTTGTCTTTTGGGTAATAGCTATTCCAACAAGTGTGAGGTAATAATATTTCATTGTGGCTTTGATTTGCACTTCCCTGATGATTAGTGATGTTGAGTATCTTTTTATGTGTCTGTTGAAAATATGTCTATTCAGTTCCTCTGCCCATTTTTATTTTTTAAAGAAATTTTTATTGGGGAACAGTGTGTTTTTCCAGGACCCATCAGCTCCAAGTCAAGTAGTTGTTTCAATCTAGTTGTGGAAGGCGTTTTTCCAGAACCCATTAGCTCTAAGTCAAGTGGTTGTCTTTAATCAATAGTTGTGGAGGGCGCAGCTCCTTGGCCCATGTGGGAATCTAACCGGCAACCTTGATGTTATGAGCCTGTGCTCTAACCACCTGAGCTAACCGCCCCCCCCCCATTTTTAAAATTAGATTGCATTTTTTTATGTTGAATTGTATTAGTTCTTTATATGTTTTGGATATCCCTTATCAAATAAATTATTTGCAAAAATTTTCTACCACTCAGTAGGTTATCTTTTTATTTTGTTAATGGTTTGCTGTGCAAAAGCTTTTTAGTTGGATGTAATCCCACTTTGTTTATTTTTCTTTTGCTGCCTTTGCTTCTGGTGTCACATACAAAAAATCATTGCCAAGACCAAAGTCAGGGAGCTTACCTGCTTATGTTTTATTCTAGTTTTATGGTTTCAGGTCTTACATTTAGGTTTTTAATCCATTTTGTGTTGATTTTTATGTATGGTGTAAGATAGTGGTCTAGTTTCATTTGTTGGCACATGGCCACCCATTTTTCCCAGCACCATTTATTAAAGAAGCTATCCTTTGACCAATCAGAATTGTTGGTTCCTTGGTTGTAAATTAATTGACCATATATGTGTGGGTGTATTTCTAGGCTCTGTTCTGTTTCATCGATCTGTGTGTGTTTATACCAATACTGTACTGCTTTAATTACTGTGGCTTTGTAATATAGTTTGAAATCAGGAAGCATGATGCCCCAGCTTTATTCTTTTTCAAGATTGCTTTGGTTATTTGGGGTGTTTTGTGGTTTCATGTGAATTTTAGGATTCTTTGATCTATTTCTGTGGAAAAATCCCATTGGTATTTTGATAGGGATTGCATTGAATTTGTAGATTGCTTTAGGTAGTATGGACATTTTAACAATATTTTTCCCATCCATGAGCACGAAACATCTTTACATTTATTTGTGTCTTCTTCAGTGTCTTATATTTTTCAGTGTACAGATCTTTCACTCCTTGGTTAAATTTATTCCTATTTTATTCTTTCTGATGCAATTATAAATGGAATGGTTTTCTTAATTTGGTCATTGACTTGAATAATGTATATTCTCATGTAGCCACCCTACCCCCAGTCAAGATAAAGGACTTTTCCATCTCTTGAGAAAGTTCCTTTTGCTCATTGCCCTAATCGCCCTTCTTTCACCCCTACACCCAGGCAGCCATTCATCTAATTTCTATCACTATAGATTGATTAGTTTTGCTTCTGTTTGACATTAACATAAACGTAATCATAGAATGTACTCATTGGCTTCTTTTGCTCAGGAATGTTTCTTTTTATTGAGTTGTATGAATGTACCACAATTTATTTTCCATATGCACCAGTTAATGACATTTAGGTGTTTCCAGTTTAGGGCTGTTATGGATAAAGCTGCTGTGACATTCTTGTGCACAGTTTTATGGATTTATGCACGAACTGGTGCAGCCGGAGGCCAGGTGCAGGTGGGCGTGAGGCTGGAGAGAGGTGGTCAGATCTCGAGGGGTCTGGGAGGCCAAGCCGTGGAGGCAGGGCTTGATCCTAAAGGTGATGGGAACCCCCAGAGGGTAGTAGAGGGCAGCATGATGGATCAGATTTGGCGACACTGCAGAAGGTGGATATATCTAAAAATATATTCTGTAAAACTGAGGTTTTGTTGGGAGAAGACAGTCATATTTTTGTGTAGCATATTAAATGAGTACAGTCTTTGTGTACTGAGTGATCTGTCTTTTCTAGATCCTAGATCCACTCAGGTTTCAGTAGAGCCACACCTGTACAGATGTTGTGCTACAACCCCCATGCCAGTGGAGCAGTGCAGCTACCTGCCTTCCCTGTCTCCCTTCTCAGTTTGTTATGAGGTCATTATAAAGGAAAACAGATGAATAGCCAGATGAAGAGGTACATAAGATGAGGTCTAGAAGGGTCCTGAGCGCAGGATCTCCTGTTTCCATGGAACTGGGGTGCACCCTCCCCCAGCATGTGGATGGGTTTGCCAACCTGGAAGCTCCAGCTGCGCTATATTTATAGTGCCCTCCCCTTTTTTTGTGAGCAACACACTCATTTTTAAACCTCACATAAAGATTTCCTAGATGGTGTGTGGCGCCATCAAATAAAAGAGGCCGCTTCAAAATTTATCAACTCTTTTTGAGCATAATGCATTTGGGTGCATGATGGTAGGTCTGTGTGACTCGTGAGATGCCGTATGTCCAAACTCTTAGAGCAGGTTTACCTTGTTCCGGCTGCCTGACGCTTTGAACTTGTTTACCTGACTGAAAGTCAGAGGCATACCAAAGGAAAGGCCAGAATTTTGTACTTTTTGGAATGAATTCTAGAAATTGTATTATGATGCCGAAAGGTAATCCCAACTTTGAGTAATCCTGTCCCACTAGATTATAAGGCCTGCAGCTCGTTTTTCTGGTTTGACTTCTTACAGCTTGATTTATATATCCTGTAGTTTGAGTTACCTGCTAAGTGAATTTCATTTCGGGATCTGTAGAGGCTACAGCTGCTTATAAAATGTGTCAGAAGTCAGGCCTTGGGTCTGCTCCCTCAGCGGGACTGGAATGAGGAAGTGGCACCCGGGCTCCTGTGAGCAGGTGCCCGGCCTCAGCCCTCAGCTAAATGCTCTGCTTTCTTGGATCTTTTGTTTGTTTTCTAACTGGCTTTAATTTTGTGTGTGTGTGCCAGCTTTGAAAAATACAGAGCTTTCCTTAATGTACAGCTGTTCTTCACAAGAAAAGATAACTGAACATTTTACTTTCAGTTACAATCTGTTTCTTGTATTGAGAGCCCCTGACGTGCTGGGCTTTGGGAGCGCAGAGGTGAGGAGGACACGGTGCCTGCCTTACAGAGTCTGCAACCAACTGGGGAGCTCCAAGAGCACGATTTCAAAACGAGTAATATCATAAAATTATTATTATTACAGTTTAAGGGCAGCTATTAATAGTAAATGACATCACAAACCTGTGTGATTATACTTCATCTTTTTTTTTTTTTTTAAGGCCTGATGAGGTCAGTAGCAACTTTTACTGTCCTTCTTTCTGCCAGAGCCACACTTTCTCTTTCTATAAGCTTTCTTTCCCCCTCCACTCTGCATGGCTGGCTTCGCTTCAGACCTCGTATTCTCTGACAACTGTATCAAAAGGATACTCCTGCCCCCTCGTTAGTTAGTATCCATCTCAACCTTTGACTTCCTTAATTGCATTAATGACAGTCCATACTTATTTATCTGTTTACTTGTTTATTATTATTTCATAAGACCTAAATTTTTCTAAGGGCCGGGACCATGGCTGTTTTTTCTCCCCATGTTCGTAGTTCCTGGCGCACGGAAGTGGTCGGTTGCCATCTATCACGTGAGTGAACCTTGCCTGACCACTCTGTGGGACCTGGCAGACTGGCCCCTGTCTTCCACCGCCTCCCTGCCTGATGCTGTCCTCATCCTTGCTGCCGTCCTGCCCTCTTGTCACACTTGCCTGCCCCTGTTGTAACATTTATCAAAGTGTATTTCCTGTTTTCCTAGGTCTCCTCCAACCAGACAGATTGCTCTTTAGGCACAGACTTTTCTGGAATGGATAAAAAAAATCGTACTGACTCTTACTTTAGGTTTCCATTTCCAAGGCTGTAGCTCACACATCTCTAGTTTCAGGCTTCTCACTTGAGCTCCACAGCTGTGTCACCATTCACCTTCTGGGCACTGCTGGCTTGATTATCCCCAAGATTATCTCTCTATTCCTCAGGCTCTTCATCTTGAAAATGGGGACAATAAAAGATAGTATTTATGGGGCTATTGTGAGAGTAAAATAATAATACTTGCAAAATGCTGAAAATGGTCAGAGTTAGCTGTTACCACTCCCTCAACTTGCCTCGCTGCCCTACTTCCTTCACTTGCACTGTGTGCGCCTCGTGGAACAGGTAGGATAGAAACACAATGTCATTTGTTGTGTTGTAGCAGATTCCAGCTGTGCTGTTGTGACACAGTGGTGTAGGGATTTGTTATTAATAGTACATAATGTGCTGTAGTTTGTAAGTAATGTACCTTTTCTTTTTTAAAAATTAGAGGAGATTTAAGGTTGTGTCTTTAAGCACATCACTCTATCACTCTTGCTCTGGTGTGTTGCTGGGTGGAGGGGGAAGAAACATTCCATTTTAGCTAGTCCCCCAGGAATGTCACATAACCGCCAGCTTATCTTACGCGTGCCTCAGCCTCCAGTGTATGCTGCTATTGATATGTCATGAATACTCAGAGAGGTTACACATCCCTGGAATTCGAGGCCTCTTCACAGGATTAATTTTGGTTTAATCAAAACATGGGCCTAGTCTGTAGTTGTAGAATATGGCCTGTCATAGCAGACTGACTCGGTGGCATCTGTTTCAGCTGCCAGATTTTGTGCTGTGTTTTGTTAAGCTTAGATTCCTTTTCTTTCCCCTCCACCTCTCCAGCGTATTGTCTGACTCTTTATGGAAGAATAAGTGTTGACTCTAGCCTATTTGACAGTATACAACTGTGACGGGTTTTATGGGACAAGATATTATGGTAACAACTAACATTTTTATAGCCCTTTAATCAGTTTAAAGCACACATATGTTTTTTTAATTCATTTATTACTTGGTACAGCCTTATGAAAACTAGACTAGAGAAACTTTTGTTATCATTTTAAAGCTAAAAACAAGCTCGGAAAGATTAGGTAGGACCTTGTTCAAGTTTTACTGGTAGTAGGTGCTATTATGAGGGGGATGTTGGTTATTTCACTAACTCATTTAGCATACAACAAATGCCTACCATGTGGTAGGGACTGTGAAGGTGGTGGTGATACAGAATTGAACTTGAGTCTTCTAACCCCAGATTTTGTGCTCTTGCTTCTATAGAGGATGTTTGCTGTGTAATGGGTTGTATAATATTTTAGTCCAAGTGTTACCTGAAAGGCCTAACTTAATAATCATGGCGCCAATGGGAAACACTCATACACTGTGCACTGCTCAGCTTACACTCACTCCCACATGGGTTAATCTGTGCCCCTTCTCCTTTTATGAATGAAAATTATTTTCTCTACTTTCAGGATTATGAGAAAAGTTTAAACGATCTCAATAAAGTTCTCCTATTAGATTCGAATATTGTTGAGGCAAAGATGGAACTAGAAGAAGTAACCAAATTCCTTAATATTAAGGATAATGCAGCATCATTCAACAAAGAAAAGGAGAGGAGGAAAATTGAGATTCAAGAGGTATTTGGATTTGGTTATCTTTGCAAGTCCTCTTTTAGGGATTTTATATTGCATTCTAAGGTTCTCTATGATTTCTACAAAAAACTTTTTAATTTTGTGTTTTTATTCTGATGATCAATGAAGAAATTTTAACCAATTATAAAAAAACTTGTCCTTTGCCATGATAATTAGCCATTGCATTTTCGTACCTTGGGTTCATGGACAGTGTTGGGAGTCTGCATTACTGAGAGTCTTCCTTTCTTTCCCCCACCCGCCCATCTGGCCTTGGTTTGTATAGCTTCCGCTCTGGGTGCTCTGGGAGCCTGTGGACATTGAGCTTTGCTTCAGGGTAGACCTGGAGATCCTGACAGGACTGACTTCATTTCAGTGACCCTGCAAGCCACATCCTATAGAGATTTTCCAGTTTGATTCAGACCCTTTTAGCACTCTGAAACAAGACAAGCCTCATCAGAGATCTTGGACTACCCCAGAATCAAACCTACCTTTGTGACTTCAGATAACTCAATGTCTTGCGCTGCAGCTTTCTGCTTTGCCTTTAGTGAAGAAGAATGTCAGCTCATGAATTCCTGTGTATTCATGAATATTAATATCCCATTTATCATATTACATTTCTACTGAGAGCAAGAGGCTAGAGCCTAGGAAGTTTTTTTTCCCCTCTAAGGGGGGAAGAAAAACTGTTCTAAGAGAATTGAAAAATGTAAGTTCACGTCTCTGTTAAATGTAAGGAAATTAGTAAATATAAAGTTATGAAAAGATGAAGTTGTTACAGGTCTTCTTTTATACAGCAGTTTTATTCATGGAAAATTATAAAAATAAAATTGTATTGTCATTTTCAATGTTAAAAATATTGTTAAACTTTAAAAAGGAATACTTTCATGAATGCTATACCTTAAAACTTCTCTTCCTAAAAAAAGTAGATTTATGATTTATTACAATTTATACATTTTTCACTTAGAACTTGACTAAAATACAGTCTACTTGTGTTTTTTAATTCTCATTTTAATGTAACTTGGCATGTGTGCAATGGCTGTTTGTGTCACATTGCAATTTTTTTCCCCATGAAGGTGAATGAAGGCCATGAGCCTGAAAGGACCTTAGAGGAGGTCTCCACTGGCTGCCTTGCATCTGAGAAGGGGGACACAAGCAATGGGACATCAGAATGCTATGAAAAACTACCAATCGCCAAGCCTAACAATGCCTATGAATTTGGTCAGGTTATAAATGCTATCAGTACTAGGAAAGATAAAGAATCCTGTGCACACCTCTTAGCCATCACTGAACCGAAAGATTTGCCAATGTTGTTAAGTAACAAACTTGAAGGGGATATATTCCTCCTCCTCATTCAGTCTCTGAAAAATAATCTTATTGATAAAGATCCCTCATTGGTATATCAGCATCTTTTATATCTGAGTAAAGCAGAAAGGTTTAAGGTAAGTGGCAGAATATTTTATTAATACAGATTGATTATTTTAGGGTTTTTGTAATTTTACAATGTGGATATTTTATGCTAATATAATTTTTCTCCTTCTTTCAGATGATGTTGACACTAATTAGCAAGGGCCAAAAGGAGCAAATTGAACAGCTCTTTAATGACCTCTCAGACAAACCAAACAAACATTTTACTTTAGAAGATATACGGGCCCTAAAAAGGCAGTATGAACTTTAAATTAAGATTATTGTTACATTTCTTACATGCATGTGTGTATTCCAGTGATGCTAATGAGATGGTATTATAATACAGTTGCATGGATAAAACCTGGTTTAGAAAAGATCCCTTGGACTGGACTATAAAATGTTTTACTTATTTTTATACATAGAACATGTATATTCTACAGTCTTTTTATTAGTTGTAAATACTTTATGTACCAGAGCTAACACCTTTATATTTAATAATATTTGGAACTAGTTAAAGTATATTTAATTTATATCATACATTTTCTTTTAATAACTTGTTAAAAATTTGAGTTAAATTACATTTTTTTGGGCTATGGAAAAGTCCACTTAAGTTTGACAGAAATGTATTTCTTTAAATTCATTTTTAAAAGTGAAAACCATTTACAACGATTATTACATCACCTTTATTTCCTGCTAAGATATATATAAATCCTATTTTATACTACTTATACATTACAATCTGCTAAGATGAAATGCAATATATAAGTCTATAATATGCAATGATTATTAAATAGTGATTAATTTAGAACTATAAAAGGAACTTATTTTTCTAATATGGACGTATTGCCCAATAATTAAGAACAAAGATTGCTAAGAATTTCTACAACTTTTTACCAGATTTGAAAAAGCTACTTTCCCTTATAAATTGTAATATAAGCAATAACAAAACAACCAATATAGAAAAGTAAACTAAACCTGCTTTTCTGTTTGAATTGTCACCCCCAAATATTTAAATGTCTTCTCTCCCTTTTTAACCATGACCATATTTATTCCCTTAATATAAAAGGGAAAGTGAAGAACTCATCATATTGAAAGCTCCTTTGTTAACTGAGTCAAAGTAAAGATATTTCTTAAAAGACTCAGGTCTGTCAGTGGACTGTCAAATGTATTCCCAGAGTCTTTAGTCAATTCTCTTTTTCTGGAGGGTTTTCTTGTTCTTTAGAAGTGAAGATGAAAGATGAATATCACTTTTAATATTTCCATATTCTTTATCTAACTTTATATAATTATAAAATATTTTAAAAAATCATTGCAGGTAATGGTACCTTTCAAACTATGCCATTTTTCTTTTAAACTGTTCTTTCCTTTGTTCATAAATGAAAATCTACTGTAATGGGTGTTTAATTCTAATCTTTAAGCAAAGTTTTCTCCTTTAATGCTATTAAATTTTTGTAAAAGTAAATGATGGAGTGTGTTAGTAAGTTTACAATAGAGACACAAAAAGAAAACGTTCTTTTTTTGTTGACAGTTACATAGCCAGCACCTAGCTGCATGGGGCTAAGCTGTCTGCCAGTGGCAACCTCTCCCACAGAGGAAGTGGGAAACATTGCGTGAACACCTGGCTATCCCAGCTGTGTGGGTTGCAGCTAGAGAAATCCATTTCTTTCCAGCAGCATCCAAAGTACTGAGGTGACACCTCCATTACTGAGGGGAGGGAAAATCAGGTGAAGGAAGCAAATAAGAATATCAAAGCACATTAAAGGAACCTGGTTCTTGGTGTCTGCTTCAGGACTTCATCAGGAAGTCTGCCCGCAAGCCTCTGGGAGTATCCCACTTGATCTCCCCACTGGGTTCGCAGGTACCCCCAAAACCCCAAGTGCCAAATCCAGACCTCCTCCCACTCTGTGGCCAGATCCTTGTGTATCTTCCTGAGTGCAATAGTGAAAGCAGATCCAGTAATTGGAGTGTTCTCAGAAAAGTGTTGCCCAGCATCTGTGGGCAAGAGAGAAACCAACTGGAATTATAGCACCACTTTCTGGAAAACAAGAAGTTTCCAACAGCCAGCCTGGTGAGTTATAAAAAGACAAGATGTAAAAGGTTAAGAATTCTGCCACAAGAGGGAGTGATAAGAGTGGAATAGTTCTTCCTGTTCAGAAGCCAAGGAAACCCCTGTTACAGCAACACCAGTGACCAGTACTCCGTGAGAAGGCAACCAATAAAGATTTAAGAAGCTATCTGCTACTTCAAATGTGAAAACTGCAATGCAGAAATATAAGGAACGTAAAAAATCAAGAAAATATGTCACCCCCAAAAGATACCAGTAATTCTCCAAAAACCAAGCTCAACGCCACAGAATACTGTGATCTAGTTGATAAAGAATTTAGAATACAGTAGTCTTCCCTGCCTTATCCATGGTTTTGCTCTTTGCAGTTTTAGTTACCCGTAGTAAACCATAGTCCAGAATTATTAAATGGAAAATTTCAGAAATAAACGATTTACAAGTTTTAAATTACATGCCATTCCGAATAGCATGATGAAATCTTGTGCCAGCCTGTTCATCTTGCCCAGGACGTGAATCATCCCTTTGTCCAGCATCTGCATGCTGTATACACTACACACCGGTTAGTCAGTAGCTGTCTGGGTTATCAGATTGACTACCAGTATCACATTGTGTGTGTTCAAATAACTCCTATTTTACTTAATAATGGCCCCAACACCATTCACATAACTTTTATTACAGTATATTGTTAAAATTATTAATCTCTTACTGTGCCTAATTTATAAATTAAACTTTATTATAGGTGTGCATGTATAGGAAGAAACATAGAATTTGGTACTTTCCACAGCTTCAGGCATCCACTGGGGGTATTGGAAAATATCTCCTGCAGGTAAAGGGGGACTACTCTAGTTCCTTTGAAGAAACTCAACAAGCTACAAGAAAACTCAAGATATTCAATGATATTAGGAAGGAAAATACATGAACAAAAGGAACTCTTTAACGAAGAGATAGAAATAAAAAACCAAACGGGCCGCCGGTTAGCTCAGTTCATTGGAGCCCAGTGCTTATAATACCAGTGTTGCTGGTTCGATCCCCACATGGACCACTGAGCTGCGCCCTCCACAACTAGATTGAAACAACTACTTGACTTGGAGCTGATGGGTCCTGGAAAAACACTGTTCCCCAATTTAAAAGAAATTCTGGAGCTGAAGAAATCAATGAATGAAATTAATACAAGAGAGAGCATCTGTAGTAGAGTAGAGGAGATGGATGACAGAATAAAGAAATTAGGGGATAGGAACTTTGTAGCAATACGGTTAGAAGAAAAAACAATGAAAAAGTGAAGAAAGCCTACATGATCTATGGGACTCAATCAGAAGAGAAAAATACCAGAATAATTGGGGATCCAGATGAGAAGACAGAAAGAAGCAGGAAGCATAAAGAAATAATAGCTAAAAACTTCCCAAACCTTGCGGAAAGACTTGGACATTCAAATTTATGAAGCTAATATATAGATCACCCTATTAGCTCAATGTGAAAATATCTTCTCCAGGACACATTATAATGAAACTACCAAAAGTCAAAGATAAGGAATGCTAAAGCAGCCAGGGGAAAAATGAATGTAACCTACAAAGGAACTCCATTAGGCTAGCATTCCTTAGACAAAACCCTTCAGGCCAGGAGAGTGAAATTACATATTCAAAGTGTTAAGATAAAAACTGCCAGCCAAGAATATTCTATCCAGCAAAGTTCTCCTTCAGATATGAAGGAGACAAAAGCTCAGGAAATTTATCATCGTCTTTAGACCTGCTTTGCAAGAAATGCTGAAAGGAGTTCTTCAAGATGAAATGAAAAGATGCGAATCAGTGACATGAAACACCTTTACACTGACAAAGGTGAGAAACTACTCAAATTTAGAAAGCTAATTCTATAATAGGATGGTGTATTAGCCATTTAACCATAGCATACAGGTTAAAATAATATTTAAAATAACATAGCTACTATAATTTGTTAAACATAAAAAGAGGTAAATTGTGACATCGAAAATATAAAAGGGGGAGGGAAAGGGTGGAGCCTTTATAGGTGAATGAAGATAAATTGCCATCAGCATAAAATAGACTGTTTGATCTATGGGATGTTTTATGTAAGCCTCGTGACAACCACAAAGCAAAAATCTAGAGTGGATTCACAAAGGATTTTATTAAAGGCAATGGGGAGGGGGGGACAGAGCATACCACTGTGGGAAATCACCAGTTTACAAAGGCGAAACAGAAACAGAAGGAGAAAAACAAAGAGGGAAAAAGAAACAATGGAAATACAAAGCAACCAGAAAGCAATAAGATGGCAATAGTAAGTACATATCAATAAATACATGTACATGGATTGCATTCTCCAAAAGAGACTGAGTGACTGGATTAATTAAAAATGAAACAAAACAAAACACCCCAACTATATGCTGTCTACAAGAGACTCCAGCTTTAGGAACACACACAGACAAAGTAAAAGGATGGAAAAACATACTTTGGGTTATCGGAAAAGTCATGACATATTTTTTTCTGTTTTCCATTGCAAAATGCATCATGACTTTCCCAACAACCCAATACATACAAGTGGAAACAGAAAGTGGAGCTAGCCATACTTATATCAGACAAAATAGACTTTAAGCCAAAAATGGTAAGCGACAAAGAAGGTTATTATATAATGATAAAGGCGGTCAGTCAGTCAATACATCAAGATAAAGCAATTGTAAATATATGTGTACTCAACACCAGAACACCTAAACACATGAAGCAAATACAGATCTGAAGGGAGAAATAGGCAATAATACAATAATAGGGGACTTTAATAGCCCACTTTCAGCAATGGATAGATCATCCAGACAAAATCAACAAGGAAATGTTGGAAATAAACCATGCTTTAGACAAAATGGACCTAACAGACATATATAGAACATTACATCCAACAGCAGCAGAATATTTTTCTCAAGGAACATTCTCCAGGATAGATTATATGATAGGACATAAAACAAGTCTTAGCAAATTTAAGAAGATTAGAATCATACCAACTATTTTTTCTTACCACATGGTAAGAAACTACAAAACGAGGAAAGCTGGAAAGTCTACAAATATATGGAAACAACACTTTTCTTTTTCTGAAGATTATTATTGGGGAATTGGGGGGAAGGGAACAGACAAGTTGCTGTCATTTTGTTCTTCAGTCTAGTTGCTTCGCTGGCCCAAGTTGGCACCATCATTGCACTCTTCCCGGGCGAGGCAGATCAGTCGCCGGCTTCTGGACGGCCGCTCACTGCAGCTGCTGGCTGCTCACGCTGGCTGCTGACTACACATGGTAGCCCATGGCAACCCACTGCAGCAGGGGCTGCAGCCTACGCCATCGCCAGCGACTCACAGCAGCCCAGCTCCAGGTTGAGCTGTTGTTCAGCATCTTAGATGTAGAGGGCAGTGTCACTGGCCCGCATATGTGGGATCCGAACCGGGGCCCTCTGGTGTCCCAAGCCAGTTCTTAACCATCGCGCCACTCGGCCGGCCCTGTTTTGTTTTTTCTTCACTTTTTATTTTTATTTTTTTTCATCCTCAACACACTTCTGAACAACCAACAGGTCAAAGAAGAAATCAAAAGGGAAATAAATGTATCAAGACAAATGGAAACAACACAACATACCAAACCCATGCAAAAGCAGTTCTGAGAGGGAAGTTTATAGTGATAAATATATATATTGAAATTAGAAAGCTCTCCTATAAACAACTTTACACCTCAAGAAACTACAAAAAGGATAAATTAAACTCAAAGTTGGCAGAAGGAAGGAAAGACCATAGCAGAAATAAGTGAAATAGAGACCAGAGAAACAATAGAAAAGATCAACAAAACGATGAGCTGGGTTTTCAAAGATAAAAAAAATTGAGAGCCCTTTAGCTAGACCACGAAAAAAAAGACTCAAAATCAGAAGTGAAAGAGGAGACATTCCAACTGACACGATAGAAATACATAGGATAATAAGAGACTACTATGAACAATTATTATATGCCAAAGAATTAGACAACCTTGAAGAAATCGATAAATTCCCAAGAGTAGAACCCACCGAGAGAATCAGGAAGAAATACAAAACAGACCAGTAATGAGTAAAGCCAGATAAAGACACTATAAGGAAACTATAGAGAATATATTTGATGAAATAGATGCAACAATTCTCAAAATATTAGCAAACTAAATTCAAGAACTCATTATAAGGATTATACACCATGACTAAGTGGGATTTATTCCTGGGATATAAGGATGGTTCAACATACTCAGATCAATAAATGTCATACACCACATTAATAAAATGGATGCTAAAAACTGCATGATCATCTCAATAGATGCAGCAAAAGTATATGACAAAATACAACCTCTTTTTGTGATAATAACCCTCAACAGATTGGGTATAGAAGAAACATACCTCAACATAAAAAGGCTATATATGACGAAGGCACAGCTAACCTTATACTCAACAGTGAAAACTTGAAAGTTTTCCTTAGATAACAAGACAAGGATGCCCACTTTTATCATTCTTATTCAATAATAATACTGGAAGTCCTAGCGACAGCAATTAGGCAAGACAAAAACTATCCAAATCAGAAAGGAAGAAGTAAAATTTTTGTTATTTGCAGAAAACAAATATATATGATTTTATATACAGGCATACCTTGTATTGTGTGCCTCACTTTATTGCACTTCACAGATGTGGGGGTTTTTTGGTTTTTTTTTTACAAACTGAAGGCAAGGCTTTCCACCAGCAAAAAGATTATGGGGATGGCCAGGTGGCGCATTGGTTAAGAGCTGGCTTGGGATGCCAGAGGACCCTGGTTTGGATCCCACATATGAGGGCCAGTGACACTGCCCTCTACAGCTAAGATGCTGAACAACAGCTCAACCTGGAGCTGGGCTGCCGTGAGTCGCCGGCAACGGTGTAGGCTGCAGCCCCTGCTGCAGTGGGTTGCCATGGGCTACCGTGTGTAGCCAGCAGCCACTGTGAGCGGCCATCCAGAAGCCAGCGACTGATCTGCCTTGCCCGGGAAGAGCGCAATGATGGTGCCAACTTGGGCCAGTGAAGCGACATCCTCCACAGCTGGACTGAAGAACAAAAGGACAGCGACTGTCTGTTCCCCTTCCCCAATTCCCCAATAAAAAGAAATCTTAAAAAAAAAATTATGATTCACTTTATTCCCATACGCGCTTTACTGTGGTGGTCTTGAACTGAACCTGTAATATCTCCAAGGTATGCCTGTACAGGAAATCCCAAAGATTAGACCACAAAACTGTTAGAACTAATTAAATTCAGTAAAGTTTCAGGATATATAATCAACATAAAAATCAGTTGCATTTCTATACACTAACAATGAAACATCTGGAAAAAAAAACTGTCCCATTTCACAATAGCATCAAAAACAATACCCAGGTATAAATTTAACCAAGGAAGCGAAAGATCTGTAACAATGAAAACTACAAGCCATGGTTT